AGTTCAGTATTTACATACAAATATAAGCACTTTTACATAAACACAATTTAATAACTTTTATAACAGTAATCATTGTTATATTGAGATATATCTTCTGCTTCAAATACANATACAAAATAATAATGTAAAATTCTTTATGTTCACTCTAACTGAAAAAAGTGAGGTTGTATAGAGTGTAAAATGTAATGGTCATAGATTTAAAAAAGATTTGATAAGTTCCTCGAATATTTTATGTTACAGTAATGGTAAACCTACAAATGGCAATAGTGTAGAGCAAAACATTTCAAAATAGACAAAAGTGCTTCTACGGTATGATTTTTACGTAATCGTTTACAGATAATTTTGCGCTTGAAATTTGCGCTCGCATTCATTATTCTTTTTGTACAACTTACATAACAAATAAATTTAAAGATATAACAACTAAAATTTTTAGTAATATTTGAGTAATTTCTAAGTTGCATATAATGAAACAAGCTAGTATGATACAATGATTTTAATATATATATATAGAAAGAGAGAGAGAGAAAGAGTGTCCTATTTTAATCACTACATGCGATTATCTCCAGAACTATTCGTCATTTGAAAATATGTTTCATGCGAAACTTAAAAAAATATACAAATTTTTCAACTGTAGAAAAAAAAATAGTTCTCAGTAATTAAATACTATGTTGTTGGTCCAACTGTGTGTTTAACAGTAAGGCCTTCTGTCCACGATGCATCGTGTCAATGCGAAATGTTGTTTCAATATTTAAAATATAACGTCGTAAATGCATAATTGTTTTCTGTACACTTTTGAATAAAGACTAGTAAAATAAGATGTATACATTGCATGTACATTCATGAGTTATATGTACACATCTCCGACATGATGCATCGTAGACAGAAGGTCTAAAAATTTCAGTTTTACTTGTCTTCAGGATAGTTCTTATAATTATTTTTGCTTGCTTCAGTATTTGTTCTTGTTGTCTAAATCATTATTAGGCACACATACATTAACAAAGGTAATGCTAAATTGTCAACTTGATTCGTTCGTGCTTCAACGAAAGACACAGCAATGCTTATTGATAGCACTTTCAAAAGTAACCAGTAACTATCTAGGTAACCTATTTAAAAAGCATAAATTAATGTTTTATCCATTTATCATACAATTAAGAATGATATAGTTATTGTCCTAACTTTACAAGGAGACCCTTAATCTTTTGTTGGAAATATAAATGCTCTGTAATCCGCATAATAAAAGTGTAAATGGTGTACACAACTGAATGATTTTAGTGCTTGCTATAGAAGAATAATATGTTCTTGATGCAATGTTGTAGGGTCTCCTTCTTAGTATTATTATTTATAATGTATATACATTAATACATACCCATAAACCTTAAGATGAATATTAATATAACTTGACTGAATATACAAGCAAGTGTTCCTTCAATGGATTTATCTGAACGACGCCATTTATGAGAACCCCACTTGCTACCCACAATGCTAGCAGCAGTATCACCTACTCCTACTGACAAACTACCACTAAATAAAGCCACTAATGGAACATTGTTGCTCGGCATCCAAAGTGGAAAAGATAAACCAGAATGTAAATATAATGCTGTCAAAGAAATCAAATTATCTTTTTCATCAGCATATACAGAAAATCCTTGTTCTAATATCTCTCCAAGAGGGGATATCCTCAAATATCTTGTTAGCTGGAAATAAACAACAATAAACAAACACTTATTCATAAAACTCTATAAACTATACACTTTTGCTGAATAACGTTTAAGAGTTAGAGCCAACGTACCTCAAGAAATATAAATAATCCCATTATTACACCACTAGCAAAATACAATAATGTTTGTTCATATATCAGACCTGGTATGTAT